ATTTGTAATAAAAAACTTTAAAGCCGAAATACATATTGTATATAAGACAGTTCCTGTATGACCAAAAAAGAAGCAAGAAGGCCTGCTAAATTAAAAAAACAAATTTTCGTCAGTTCTAGAATAAAGTATTTTAAAGACGCTATAATTATGAACAAGTTTATCTCATGAAAATTTACCTAACAAAACGTTTTGAAAAAATTAAAAATTTTTTATGGCTAATAATCAAAATGTCTATCAAACAAAAACATCTAAAGGAATTAGAATTAGAAATTGTAGGTATATGAAAAGGTCGACGACCAAGAAACAGATGGATCAATAGAGATTAATGGACTCGTTAAGATTGTGAAAATACAACTACAGAACGGTGAAAGGAGAAAGGCCAAGTAACTGACGAGAATTCGAGAATTCATTGTAAAACATTGAGTTAATTTCACTAATTCTTGTAATCTTATGTCAAAAACAAAATCTCATCTACACTTTGGTTAACAACAACGATTTTACGTTTTAATAATACGTGTACGGTTTCAGAAGTTAAATTATAGACATTACAAGCTTTAAAATTTTGCCCTAACTTTTCCACGATATTGCGACCACAAATTATATATAACTCGTTAAGATTTTTTTAAAACTTATACTATATATCAGAATAATCCAAGTTATTATTTTTAAGTTTTTTCAACCTATGATTTCTCTCTTAAAATTACTAGTCATTTTTTTCTAATGCCATAGTTATGGTCATATTGCTAGAACTATAACACATAGAAAGAGATTTCGGCTTAAGTAAGTTATATGTAGTCTTAAAACCCGTTTTAAAATATGCGTTACTATTTTTTATTTATTAATAAATGAATGCTTGATAATATAATAATATAATATACATAATAATATACACATATAATATATAATAACATATATATGATTATATTTATTATAATATAATACATGTAATATATATGATAATATATGATAATATATATAAACATATAAATAATGATCCCAATTATTGAACTAAGTTAAAAGATTATATCTGTAATAATTTTTAATATATAACAAATATTAATAAACGCAAATATGCGAAAACGATGAAATTAAAAAAAAATTAGTCAAAGTCATAATAAAAGTTCTATAACATAAGATATTAAATCTATAATAATATTTAATTATATTACACAAATGCAAAAAAAAATTATTTAAATGAAAAACAAAAGCTATAACAATTAATGAAATGAATAAAGTCGTGTATGAGAATTTTAAAAAGTTTTATAGTAAGATAAGTAGAGGCAGAGAAAAAATATATTCATATACTATCTGCGCAATCTCTCTACTGCTGTATTGAATTATACAACTCAGTAACTTTGAAGAAAAATAAACGATGTAATTCTTAAAATTTTTTAAAAATTAAAATTCATAATAAAAATAATATTTTGTAATGAAAATGCAAAAATTAATATGTATAATGCTGTGCTTAAACGTTAATTGCAAAATTATACAATTTCATTTAAATTAATAAACACTTAGTAGAGTTTGGAAAAATGTATTACATCATTTATTATACTGTAAAAATCAAGTAACACATTTAAACAACTCCTTTGTGATAATTAAAACTAAATTGAAAAAAATAATAGTAAAATACTTATAAGACAACTTGAACATTTATACAAACATTACAAGAAAAATACGAGCAGATAATTATTAAACATGAAATTAATAATTTGGATACGAATAATAGTAATTATGTATATAAATGAAAAGAATTCATTATATTCCAAATTCGAGCTTCAATATATCAAACGTTAAAATTATTTAAACAATCTAAGTAAAAAATATAAAGTAAGTTTCAAATGGAACCAGAAAATCAGAAAACACAAATTAAAAATACAATTATTTAATCTAAGTTTACCTGCTTTTATAAGTCACACTTCCACATCCCACTAATAAAAGAAAAATTTTTAAATTCAATCTTCTGCTCTTACCCCAAAATATTGAAAATAAATTAATACAACCACGCTTTCGTTTTGGAAAATGTAATGTGTATTGCTGTGTTTAATAATTCTCACATACTTTATTTTACAAACTGGACTTAAGATCTTGATGTAACAACTTGGTTTATTAACGTGATTTAACAACTTCATTATGGAAATGAGGTTATTTATAAAATTGTTGGTAACAATATGAGTTTATTTACTATTTTCTTAAACAGAAGTAATAAAAAGACTTCATGTAAGCGAAAATAGTGAAACACAATCATTTTTATTCAGTAATGGATATTTGATCCAGAATTATTATAATTTTATGTCCATTTATTTCATAATTATAATATATTACATCGACTGAAAATTTTAATTTTAAAACAAATAAAGAAATTAAAATATTATATATAAATAAAAAGTTAAGCTGACATTTGTAATTTTCCATACAAACTTTTTATTCCAAAATAATATTAAATAATTATAAAACTTTAGTCATTTTTTTCATATAATTATGCTAAATTATATAACAATGAAATGTTTTGTTTAGTCTTTCTAAGTACTAACTGAAGAGCAATGTATTTTTTAAATAATACTGGTTGCTAAGTCTGCTATTACTATAACTTATATGCTCAAACCAACACATTTATTTAACCCGACAAGTGATGGCCAGCTTCGTTTGACGATTACGTTATCCACAAACCTGAATAAGTTAATGATTGTTCTAACAACATGGTATGTGGTATTATCCCATACAAACTAAAGAGCTAATTATTTTCGAAACAAAAAAGCTTTTAAGATCGGCCACCACTACAGTATTTCTTTAATTTTAGAAGTGATAAAATGATTCTATACCTGTTAAACTGCACCAAACAGTTCAGTTCGCAGAGTGCGCCGGTAGCTAGTGAATTAGAATTAAATTTTTTTTGCATTAAACTTAGCAATTAAGCTTTATAACAAAGTCATTAAGGTAAAAATCAGTCTCATTGCTGATCAAAATTTTATAGTTAAAAAATGAAACTAGAAAAGGAGAGCATTCGAGTTTAATTCGTACATTAATAGGATCTTGTAAGGACATTTAGTAAATTCCTTTCCAATATTGTTCACAGCGTTGACGAGGAGGAAGATAGGCCATTAAATAAGATAGTTCTAATTTGATGTTGCACTTATATTGCTAATATTCCCTACTTTCATTCTTATTCTGCACAGCTCTCACTTACTCTGATCCCCTCTCCCTTTCTGACTTTATATCTTTTAATAGATCTTGTCAGCGACATTTACATAACATACAACTAGTAAAAGCTGAATTAATTATCGATGCCATAACGAACATAAAAAATGTAAAGGCATAGTGCAGAAAAAGCCATTCGTTATAAGAGAATACATACATACAAACCAAAACAGTATAAAAACACAAATAATATAAGTTCAATCCGATCACTAAATACTTTACACACATAAAAAAACAATGTCATTGATCGATGTTTGTATCAGCTGATATAAGATTTTTTTATGAGTTTTTATGAATTATCATAACTTAATTGATTACTGAGTTTCATATTAATTTTACTTTGGCAAGAATAATCGAATACATTGTTTTCCAAAAGATAGCACAGATCAATAAATTTGGTACAGCACAGCTAATTCAGCCTTTATTTGTTTATTTCGAGAATCACTCATAAATAGTTAGATATATTAATTTTTATGCGTTTATACATTTCTTTAGCTTAAAGTTTTGATTGAATTTGAATAAAAATTGTTTTTTTATATATTTAGGTAGAGGACTTTGATTACTGAACCGATTAGAAAGTAATCTCACCAGCATTTATGTACTAGTTTCAATTTAATATCTTTTATATTAATGTTGCCATTTTCTAATATACCATATGGTCTAAATATAAAGTTAAAATATAAAAATCAGTAAATTTAAATTTCATGTTTAACATAATTAACACTAATATATTAATTAAGTTCAGTAAGACAAAATAAACAAAATATAAAACATGTGTGCAATCTATAAAACGTTTCTGAAGAATATATAAACTAAGTGAAATGTATATATGTTTTATGAAAGTGTATATATTTTCATAATAATTTTTTTAATTTAGTTTCCCAATTAATAATCAATATTTAAAAAAAAATAAATTTTCATATATATTTTATTTGTTTTTTTTTTCACCGAAGCCACTTACACAAAAGTTTATTGAATTTTATGGCTACTGTAAATTTATTGATATCAGGGTAATGCCATTTGTTCTATTTTGCAATGATATGTTTTTTATCAATTGTTGACGAATAATTAAAATATGGGATTTTCAACGTGATTGATTAAAAACATTTAAATTAAAGTGTGAAAAATAAATGCGTACATATATACACCATACATAAGATATGCAATGGATTAAAAATTATTAAGAAAATTAAAAGCAAAAAGACATAAGAGAATTTTTAAGAAATTATGTGTGAAAGTATATTTGCTATGTTTTTAACCGCAAGTAATTAGTTAATTAATATAATTTATTTATTTATTTAAAAACTAAATAAATAGGTGCTTGAAGTAAAAAAAATTGTTTGGTTATCATCAATTAATTTTTATCACATATATTGTATATAACATACATGTACGAGTTTTTTGCTTTTTTATTTTGACAGCTTTACTTCAAATCAAAGCTATCTAATTAAAAATATATGATTGTGAAACAAACTATACACATAGGTATTATATATAGATAAGTATATATATATAGATATATACAAATAAATATAAACTTAAATTTTATAAACAAAAAGTATTTCTAAATAGAAAACTTTTCGTATCAAGAGAAGAAATTTCATTGCACGTAATTAATGCCTTGTAATTTTTTTTTTTCATTTAAATACTATTAAATACGTGGCTATTATGTACAATATACTATATTATATAGGAATAAAATATATGCTTTTTACTTTCTTGCTTTTAATTTAATTTAATTGTAGACATAAATGATTACAAAATAATTAAATAATTATTAAATTTTATTCTTTCACATTTACCTTTCAAATAATTTATGCTATATGAAAACCTGATTTGTGCAATTGTTTAAACAATTCACTTCTTATCGGTCAAACGTTTAATAAATAGCCGCTTTCTAGTTTTGTTTGTGTAAATTATCTGTAATTATATATTTCTTATTGAGAGACTTTTAAACCGGTAAACGAAATAATTTTATACAATAAATAAATAAATATTAACGACAAAAGAATAACTTGCTTTATGTACTCAATGTGTCATCAGAGCAACAATAAAAACACCAACACTAAATAACACTACACTATATCATAATAACAGCAATGCTAAAGCAAGCAAATAAGTAATTTAAATATTTGTTAATAAATAGAAATTATTGTAAATTTATTTAAAGTAATTTTTTATTTATCTTTTTCTCTGTTATTAATTTAACCCACACTTGTTGCACTTTACCGAGATTTCATTAGATTACAGATTTCATTTGCCAATTTAAAAACGCGGTATTTCCCATATTATTTATACTTAATAATTTACATAAATTTTATATTGCAATAATTTCACTAAACTCAAATTTATTCATATAAATTTGTTAGGTAAAATCGCAAAAAATCACATATTTAACACGCAACTCCCACAGTGAGTTTCTACGTTACTTTGCCCGATCGAACAACCTAACGAAGCAACAATTTCAATTTAACTGAAAAGTGCAAAACATCGGCGGGCAAGCGAATGCTTAAGCATTTGGCATAACAGCTGTTTGGTGTCTTCTCGATTGCCTTCTCCCGCCTGTCACCTCGCATGCTAACTATTTAGCTTTTTTACGGTAACGCCGTCTTTGAGCTTTAAGCAGTGGTCAATATGAACTTGTAAAAGATAAAAGAAAATACCAAAAACAAGAAAAAGCATTGGCTGTGGTGAGTTTCTGTGCTGATAACAGAAGGAATACAGCAGCAAATATGTAACCGCTTATTTATAATGTATGGTTTCGGAAATTTTAACAGACTTGCTTTCCACACATAATTAAATAGATAACATATGGCGCCACAATAAGTGGTAATATAATTAAATCTAAAAACTAATTAATGAATTATACTAATTTGTATTTATTTTTGTTTTAATTATTTAAATTAAAGCAGAAATCATGTGTGTGTGCATTAGCTTGTAAAAATGGAGATATACAATATTAGTCAATGTAATGTTGACATAAGAAAAATGTGAACGAAACTGTATGCTTCCTTTTATAAATGCTGTGAATTGAAATAATGGCCGTTTGCGAGTTCGAGTAAATTGATGGTAAATTGAGGGAAATAGTAAATTATGTCGGTATGGCAGCGAATGTTGGTTTTTACCAGAATTTCGAGTAAGGTTAATTAGATAAAACTTACATAAATTAGGTGTTACCATTGCAAAAATTTTATAAGATCTTTAATAAATAAATAAATAAATTTGATAATTTTTAACCAAAAATAATAAATAAGTGTATGTATGTACCGTATGTGAATGGCTCCATATCAACAGCAAAATATTAATATATTATCATGGACTGCGACAAGTCCTGCTCCTAATATTATTGATAAAGAAAAAATATTAATAAATTTTGCAAATTAAACTAAAAACAAACTAAAAAAAAAAGTGGAGAAATATTGTCATTAAAGACATGTGGCAGAATCATGGAAAATTGGCTTTGCTACGAGGTCTTAGACGTTTGCGCAGTTGGCTCTTGTTTAATTAATATAGAAGTTATATAGTTCATCTGCCTTGCTTGAGCAAATGCAAGTTATTATCTAAAGCACTTTTACTCAATAGTGTCTGTGACCATTTGAATGATCCACTGTAATAAGAGCTCCGTTGAAGCAACAAAAGGTATAGGTAGACTTTAACAGATTAGACGTTAATTGCGTATATATCCGTTGCATTGCCTAAAACTTTTTTTTAAGATGTACCCATTTCCAAAGGTTTGATTTTCTTGAGAAGACTTATAACACACACATTGATTCAAGATTTATTCTGTATCATTTTAATTAAATTGATTTTCTTCATGAAAATTCTTGAAATTTCAAATAGATGCAACTATGTGTCTTACCAGTGCTGAACATCTCTTAGCAGAGGTCACAATGATCATCAGTTAGATCACTATTATCAATGATCATTAACTCTATGACTCTATATCTGCCATCGTAATAAGCCATTACTGGTAACAATGGATGAAATGTTGTTCATTTTGGTTCTATTTAAATTAATTGATTTGATACTTCTATATTTACTTATTAGTGTCGACATTTGGTACCAGTTGTTTTATTTTCTCATCTCATTTGTGGTTTTTTAAGAAAAGAGGAGTGGATATAAGAAATAATTGATGTAAAGAAAAATATTTAGGTTATTTATTTTTTTTTATATTTATGCAGTTTATTTAAAAAACATTTTTCTTTTTGACAAAATATTGTCTTACTTTATATCAATTTAATACTGTCGAAAATATTACTTTTTTCCTGAAATTTAGCTGAGTAGTAAATATTTTTATAAAAGTACTTTAATCAATCAAAATGTCTTATTTTTGCCATTTTTCGGTTGAAATTATGTATTTAAAAAAGTTCTACAGTCATTTTTTCTCATATTTAACAAATATTTTTAGTGGGTTTTGTTATTTCTTAATTGTTGTTAACTGGCACTTTGACTTTTGTTTATTTAATTGTATATATTTGCATTGAGTTTAGTACTGATTGTATGTATGATATGATAGATTAATTAAGTTAAATTTAACTTATTTTTCATTTTATTGAAACAAACATATGCATAAGTTTGCAGACTTTATATTATGAACAATGACAGGTTGACATCATTGGGGAATTTATTTGCAACTACTGTCCGATATCAATGATTGGTCATAATACCAACTTGTGATAAATTTAATTTTTATCGAGTATACAATGTATCTATTGTTGTATAAAAACGTTTCGAACTCTAAACTTATAAAATATTTAAGGGAATAAAATAGAGTCAGTTAAGTACATATTTATGAAGTAATTTAATCACACAATTGACACAAATATATATAAATTAGTTCACTGTTAATTGAAGAATTCTATTGAATAACTATTAAGACAACACAACTTGAAAATTTTTTGGAATGCAGAATAAAACTTCTAAATCATAGTGTGTAATTGCTTCTTCTAATAGTGATAATAATTAGGAGAAAGTTAAAAAGTGTAATACAAAAGATAAATTTTACATTATTGTATAAATCGTATAACTTGTAGGATTCAACCGATAAATATATTATATTTTGGCTACATCAAAACAGGATAAACAGGATTTTTCAAAAATAAGTATTTAAGTGAGATCATCTATTGACAATAAGTGTGCGTATTGTAATTTCTTCAGTGACATACATTTAAAATTTTATAATACTAGGACGATTAGTAGTGGATCTCTACCTTTGAAGTGCAGTATATTTGTATTATCTGTACAAAAGACTGAGCTATGTATAAAGACCTCATATTAAATAATTAAATTAATTAATTAAATATTAAAACTTGTTTAGGCTTTTATTGAATAGTTTCATCTAATTAACGTGTTTATGAGAAGTTTACTCTGTTTACAAACTAAAATCTGTGATCATCGCCGATTACTTCAATATAATGGATGAATTTCTCAAAGATCTGCTTGTATACTTGATATATGTACATGTCCTTTTCCCTACATTACAAATATCTATCTAAGTATGATCGTAATATAAACTTTGTTCGTAATATATCTTTGTTCGTAATATATTGATATAATACTTATCTAAATTTTGAAACTATACGAATTTAAAATTATTAGATATTTAGTTTATAAAAATATGTTAAATATATTGCATACAACTAGAATATCATAATATGTTATGTATATGTTATATCTATACAAGTAATGGATTATTTATCCACGAACTACATGTTTTTAAATTTTACCTTAGTTTAGATTTTATAACATCTAAACTATTCCATAATAAAAATAAATTACAATTAAAGTATAAAAAATATCACTATTATTATAGCTGTAGTTTCATAACACTATAGTAAACATTTAAAACGTGGTGACTCCTGCTTCAATCCATGAAGTAGTGACACTATAACTTGCGTTAATCAGATGTTAAACTCAAATGAACCGATAAGCCCAATTGAACAAGATGACGGAAAACTGATTACTGACAACTTTTTAAAGGCTCTCATGTTTAACACTGAATTCACTTTCAATAATAACAATTCACACCAGCAAATTTATGAATTTATATTTGAGTAGTCGTATACACTCCAAGCCATGAAGTCCTTACTCAACACCATTTAACATATATTTAGAGCACAATTTAATAAATAGTTTAGTACAAATTTAAATAACTAATTTTATAATAATATGGTGAAAGTGATACAATATATATAACATCGATGTCACATGTATATTAAATAGCATTTTCAAGACATGGGCAATTTAATTTCCGAAAACGCAATATGTGCAATATTCACAAATTTATAATTTATAAGCTCTAAAATGTATTTATGGAGCCCTTAATAATTAAAAATATAATTAAGAATAATATGGCAATTATTAAAATGTCAAATGCTTTACAATTTGTCTATTCAATTTCTATGGTCTTTATAAAGATCAATAAGAGATCAATAAAAATAAATTTAAGAGAAATTTAAAATAAGTTGAGAAATCAAATATTTATATAATACTTTATAAAAAAAATTCTTCCAGTTATGTAAAAAATGTAATAAGCCCAAAAATGAAGTTTTCTTATTAATTAACATTCAAAAACATTTTAAACTTATTTATTTAGTGAACTTACTTTAAAATAAAAGTTCTATATTTTCTTAATATCTGAAGGATTGACTTATATACTTGTATATATAGAGTCTACTCTAAGATATTATTGTTTTATTATAACGTTTTCTACCACTGACAGTATATCTAGTAGTTTCTATTATTACTAGAAGTTCTCAGAATTGTTGATGTTAAGAATTAATAAAAAGTAAGCAAAGGAGATAAAATATATACTGGAATTTACATTATCAGAAAAGCCAAAAAATTTAAAGTTTTGGTTTAAAACAAATTGAAGTGAAAATGCAATATCGTCATAATGATCCTGCGTAATCTTTTATACTTACAAGGAATGTTTAGCAAGAAGTTGATGCTCCTCGTTGATATTATTGAGGAGTGTGTTAAACTTACATATGGTACTATAGTTGAACGGGCAACTCAAGCCAAGCACTACAACTTTTAAAAATTCATCAGAATACAAATACAATAAATGTAGATTTAATGCTTCTGCGCATCGATTTCCATTGATTTCTACGCAACAGCACTGTAAGGCTAGAGGCAGCGGGCGGTTAAGTACAATACAAATGCAAATTATCGATGAAGTCCCGAGTTATCTTTATAGATTTACACAAATTCGTGAACGTAAATGATTCACAAATGACACCAAAGTTTTTTCAGACTAAAGTTATAACGATTTGAGAGACATGTCGGCTAATTGCAAACCACATCAAGAATAAATGTAACGTAACTATTTTGGTTGACAACCAAACCTCAAATAAAACAATTCAACCCTAATAAACAAATCAGAACTAATACGAGAATAAAGGGTTGCAATCCTATGGCTCCTAGACAACGTTCTTATATGACTTCTTGCTCATAGGAATATTAAACGGAATAAGAAAGTAGGTAGTTCAAACCGCATTAAAGATTCCATTGAGATCTTCTTATAGATATCTTAAATATCTTACAAAATGTTATGAAAGGCACCCATATCCACTTATTATAGTTAGCTAATGATGAGAGAAACTTACTCACAGTACGTAAAACATCCCGATTGATATTGGTTTCTTACACTAAGACTAGTTTCACTGGTGTATTGGAACTCTACCAAAAAACGACTTCTCCCGTTCAATACTTATTGTAAATGTTGCAAAAATGTTGTTCAATGTTGTTGTAAACTTGCAAAAAAATAAATAATTGCACATTTTCTCCGTAATCGCAAGCTTTGGCTAGCAGAAGGAACAAATTTTTAGTGAAGTACTTTCTTCACAGTCTGACAGACTTGAGAAACTTGATTCCATTGAAATATTTTTTATTCAGAAGTTGAAGGTGAAGAAGTTCCATATAATAATTCTAATTTACAATAGTACAATATTTAACTCAAACTTAAGTATTTTGCATGATACTTCATTCATGTGAATTATTTACAGGATATTTTTATAATTTGCCATACAATAAAGACTAAAATCATCAAAGTCTTGATTGGTATTGTATTGATTACAAAGTATACCTATATTATGCCTCTCAATTCTTTAAGCACATTTTATAGCAACTTTTCTAACAGGCTTAAAGCCAAATATCGTCAAGATACTGAGTCGATACAGCAGAATTTCTTTTGCCACAACGTATTTATGCGATTATCATATCACTGGTCTGGTCCAAATTTTTCTCTTATTATTCACAATATTGAAGTGATAACTGCCCCATTATACGATTTGTCAAAAAATTATTATCTTTCAGAAAAGGTTTTCTTCCAGCTACTTATCATTTCGTATGGTATCAATATATTTGCTAGAATAATTTAGTACTAAAATACAACGCCATCACGTCTATTTAATATAAAATTGGAACAATGAAAATACACAGTTTATTATAAAATTTTTTATGACAGCTATACCGCTGTCATAAAAAATGATTTCACTGTATCCAGGCAACTTTTTCTCTGTGATTTGTTTCCTAAATCGTATCTTTCCCATCCTGGTAACTAAAAATCGAGATCATAACCAATTTTAATATTTAATCCTTAAATTTAACTCCTGCAGGAAAAGAACAAACTCTGAACTCTAACGCTAGTTAAATTGTTTTATATTATTGATATTAGTTTCCGATCTATAATTATGTGCCTTTAAATAGACTTAAGCTAAATCGACTTAGCTGTCAATTTAAAAAAGTTAGCTGCCAACATGTTACGGAAATTATTCATTAAAGAAATGCATATAATTTACAAACAAAAAAACTGTTTTAATACACTTATAATAAATTTCTTAAAATTTAACTTATTAATAAATATTATTTTTTATGAAATTGCTTTAACGCGAAAAGATCCTACACTATAATCTTTCAATGAATTGGTATAAAGAAACATCTTTTGTTATTTTTAGAAGATACTTTTATGGGAATAAAATATAATTATTGGTCAGCAATCTACAAAGCCAAAGCAAATCTAGATAAGCCTAACAAGAAGCAAAACTATATAATCAAAAAAAATATTTACCTGAATACATTAAGACTGAAAAGTTTCGGAAATTCTCATTTAAAATTCGCGCGCTGTATATTTTTCGATATTTTAAGTTTATGTAGTTTGGCAGCACTGTCCTTAATTACTATGCCAAAAATGAGCTCGATCTGTCAGACAGTTCGTTTACGGCAGCTGTTGAAACCAGTTCACCTCAGTAGTGCGTTGCGAAATGTCTTCGACGGTCGTACGACCGTCCTGGAAGGCTTTGTACCACTCATAAACTTGAGTTTTCGATAAAACTGATTCCCCATAAGCCTTTTGTAGCATTCGCAACGATTCTGCACACGAAATTTCGTTCGAAACACAAAATTTGATGCAAACTCTTTGTTCAATATTTTTTTCCATTGTTTTTTTCGCAACGCCCTACTGAGGTGAACTGGTTTCAACAGCTGCCGTAAACGAACTGTCTGACAGATCGCGCTCATTTTTGGCATAGTAATTAAGGACAGTGCTGCCAAACTACATAAACTTAAAATATCGAAAAATATACAGCGCGCGAATTTTAAATGAGAATTTCCGAAAACTTTTCGGTCTTAATGTATAATAGATCTGTTCTATTTAACTTTCAATTCGTTGAACTTGTGTTTCCAAATAAAGCTGTAGTTTATAATCTCATTCTAATTTAAAGCACGGCAAGTGTTTTGGTTAGTGTCACTAATTAAATAAAAAAAGTGACAAAAAATCTGGAACTTGAGCATTGAAAGTTTGTGCAGCTTTGGCTACACGATTAGTCATCACTTCTAATTTGACAGGCACGGGTTCTAAGCCTTGCACTTGCAGTCCAAACACATTATGTGCAAACTATAAACTAATTAAAAAAAAATTCAAATATTTCCTAAGAACACTGATGAGTACTTTGCAATACTCGAAACAGCGTTGTATGTTCATCCAAATTTTATTAATTAACTAAATTTTGGTTCTTTTCTTTTGTTTCTATTCGACCCCTTTTAAAAATTTTTACCTCAAAACACGTGCAATTTTTATTGTGATTACAAAAAATAATATATACATCTATTCACTTTTGTAGAATATAAGTACATTTAAAATCTATATAAAACAATATTTTCTCTGCATATAGTACCATGTTAATTTGGCAGTTCAATTTTGCAACGTTAACTTCAAGAAACTTAGAAATACTGTTCAGATGTTTGTCTCATTATTTCACTCAGTCGATGAGCGCAGTTACTAAGCTCCGAATCATGCCATTAAAATAGATTTGAACAAATTTTTAATATGAAGATTTACTTTTTAACAGCATCGTTAATAATAAAAAAAAACAAATTAATATTGTTGAACTATTTCAATATTCAATATTTTTAAGAAAACTCTTACCATTTTTCTGTGCTTAGCACAAATATATCTTTCTTGTAGCATACAACTTAGTAAAGAACAATTTTTCTATTTTATTTAATATTTTGTGTCTTTATTTATAATTTCAGTTTATTATTTAAATACAAACTTTACCTATTTGTAGGCTTATTGAACCATTGTAAATATATCAAATAAGTATTTTCTTAATTTCATCCAAAACATTCTCTTCATCTTCCATATACTTGACGTAGAAGTGCGATGAGCGAATACGATTTCGTTATAATACCAGCAAAACTAGGAAGTGAAAGGTTCATAAATCCACCTGCTGTAAATACGAATGGTCTCTGAGCATTGGCCAGAAAAATAATAAGTGATTTTTGAAAACGTTGATCATATTTATACCAGCTTACACCATAACCGGAAGTTGACACCTCCTTACTCTATTTTGTAAGAAACAATTAAATTATTTCTATTATTATTAGAAATAAAACAGAATATTCCAACCTGTTCAAAAACATCATTGCCACACCAACAGTACAGAAATAATTCACACAATATACAACCACAATAAAAATAGGCTAATATTGTGATATTGGTATTTTCTGTACTGACTGTGGCCTGAAATCCGCTTAAAGCAAATATTGCAAACGAAGTTAAAAACTGGATCAATATTGGAAGGCGAAAAATGTCTTCTACTTCATGTCGTAATCTGTTAAAACTTTGTAATAAATGAAATAAAAATGAAAATTTCTTTTGCAAAACATTACTCAATTAAACTACAGTGGTGTGCTATTATTGACTTCAGATGTATATTTTGATCCAACGTCGGAATTCCAACAGACCCCTTTTGTCCCTCATTTATGAGTTCATTAAAGGATAAAATTAGTATTTTCAAATGTATACGTAACTGATTGATTAAAATTACACTTAGATAATCTGTCGCAACAACTTGAAGAGCAATAACTAAAACACTTAATCCCATATATAGAATCTGTATTTGTTGAGGCAAAAATGAGGGCAATTGCACACGATAAGGATAACGATATGCTACACTTTTTGGATCTATATCGAAAATAATTTAAAATAAATAATTAGCATAATTATTTAATATTTCTATTTGATTTGATTTGAAATATAACTTACCTCGTAATAACATAATCATAGCCAAAATTGCAGTGAACCCGAGTAAAAGAGCATAAATTGTAAGTGGAAGTTTATTTTCAAATTCACCGTTGAAAAAAGTTTGTTTCTAAATAGGAAAAATAAAAAAATTTTATATCAACATTTTGAAGCGCTTTAACGAACCTGGTCATTAGACCTCACGTATTCTTTTGTTAAAGCCCTTAATTTATTTATAACTTTCTGTATATCTGGTAAGCGATAAAATAAATTGTATATCTAAAATATATAATAATACAAAAATTAAAAATTTACATTAAATTTAAAATAACATAAAAAGATATTTTAAAACAGCATAACATATACCTTGATAACAACTGCAACATGTGATAATGATAAAGAAGAACACTGAATGACATCTTCCAAGTCCTTTGAAAATACAAGCTCTTGCAGTTCGAAAAGTGTGTAACACATAGTTATCAATATCACCGTTGGAATTCCATAAACGGAGAAGAATATTTTCATAGCAAGAGATTCATTTCTCATACCAAATAATGGTAAACCAGCAGCTTGAGCTAAAAAAATATTCAAATCGATGGAACCAATTTGACCAAAAGTTGGATCCGATGGAAATATTCGTGTGAAAAATCTGCGTATATATTGCATTGTAATTCAGCAGCACAAACTTCAAACTGTGATAGTTTTTCCATTACGCATAGTTTTTATATCATGATATGACGGAATTATGGCATAATTAACAATTTATCACACATCCGTATTGAATGTTTTGTTGTAGTAAAAACCATAGCACCTAAATATTCAGCTTGTGTTGTTATATACTACAGAATATATGGCACGAGGAACGATTTTTTCGCATTTAACTATTCAATTTAAATAATTTGTTGAAATTTGATAGCATAAATTCATAAGGTTCGGACACGTGTTGAAAGGCTATAATTATGATTTTAATATTAAAAACCCAGAATATTTGTTTTCCAAATCAACATCAATTGTATTATGGCTAGATTATAATAATGCGAAGTAATTTTTACATGAATAGATATAGATTTTATTTTAAACAAATATTTTTAAATAAAAATAGTATATTTACACCACGATATATTTAAGAAATTATAATTAGTTATGTTGTTACAATATAGAATGTGTCGACATCTTGTGTCACAAGATGATGTTGATACCCATCTGACATTTCAGGAAATAAGATACGAAGATGCGCCTTGCTCTAGTCGATTTGTTACTAAAAAAGATGTTAAAATTCTGCAGCTGGTGAAGTAAGACTGACCCGAAAGCTATCAGAGGATGACGAAGACACTAAATATCACCCACATTACAGTTTGAAATCATTTAAGAAGACTAACCTACGAATAGACGTACGATTTTATTTCATTGCTGAAACGCAAAGAAATAACGCATTATAGACAAATTCTTAAATGCTCATAACTGATGGTCTAGATATGTGACAATGGTAACACCTAATTTGCCTAATTTTTTCCTAAAATCCTACATTTACATTTACCTTTACCTTTACCCTACTCAAAATTCTACAACATTCCCTGCTATACCGACATAATTTACTATTCGCACACTGCCCTACTTTTATGTGCGTAATTAATTGCTTTTTTTAAATATTTCTATAAATATTTCTATAAATTATGAAAAAAATAATTGTTCAGTTAAATTTAATGCTTAGAGTGAATAAAACATAAAAAAAAATCTATTTAATGATATAATTTTCAAATTTAATTTAACTGAAAATAAAAATAATTTTTAAATACATTTTTGAAAAAAAATTCCTTTTAAGTTTCTTAAAAATTTATGTCTAAGTCATAGTAGTTCTTATCTTCCCCAAAAACTTTGTGGATAAATTTTTTCATAGACCGAATTTGAATCACACAAGCATTGTCACAATTTCATTACTCACCTCTTTTTGATTTAATATTTCACTTTTGTTTTTTAGAACAAAAAGTATGAATATGATAATTCCTTGTACCGCATTGCAGAGAGTTTAATATAAAAAAATACAGACGAGAAGTTCTCAGAGCCTACCACATATGATTTAACTTCTAACATCAAATAATTCCCAAAACAATAGATTAACGTAGAAATAAGTTAACTCTGTAAAAGTAATAATAAAGTAAAAATCAATTCATCATATATAAAACAGCACAATATTACGATTTTAAAGAAAGATTGTAATGAATATTATTCATAATTTTGATTTAACTATTTCAAGTAGATATATAGTAAGATGTTATTATTTCTGCTTAGAAGCCCGTATACCATATTAAAATTGCGAACTTTATAATTGCAATTGAATTTTACGCTCAAAATTACTTGCTTAAGTGAACTGTACCTTTGAAAATAAGGATAATTAGAACTAATTTTGATACAAAGTTAGTTCTAAACTGTACTTTATAGTTCTTTTTTGAATATAGCCTAATATTTCTTCATGATCAAATTTATTTCTATTCTAACGAAAATATCATCATGAATATTATGTGTTGATTAATTGCTTTGTGTGATATCAGCGTTTTTTTTTTTGGTACATTAGGCTTCCTTACACTTTGTAAAACATAGTGGTTTTAATTAAAACAGATTTTAAGTTAATTTCTAACATTTATAGATTAATATATCACTACAGTAGCTAGAGTGCAAATAGAACTCTCAAAGGACTTCAAAAATCAGTAACAGTTTTTTTTTGTTTCCTATTTCCAGTCCTAAACAAGTAACATATATACATATATATATATAAAAACATAACATATATAAAAAATCATAAGAAATTTTATTTCTCATATAGAAACTGAATTAAAGATATTTTTCATACAGAAAATGAAAAATATTCAAAACAAATCATATTGAATATTATATGTCATCTTATTATATGTTGTCTGTGCAGTTTTGAAAATATTTTTTAAATAAAAATAAAATAAAATAACCAGGGCTGTTTTCTATTCTCGGAAATAGAAAAAGGAGGACAGGGTAGTCCTTCTTAAATATAATATTGTTCAAAAACAGTTATGCTTTGCTCTATAACATTATTGAAAGGAACATTCACATTAAACAATAGTTTCATCATATACTCTATTCTGGTTTCACAGTCTCCGGAGTCGTCTATTTTAATATGCGTTGGGTCACAACAAAATTGAATACAGGCTATCAGTTTACATATACAACCGCGTATATGCTTCCCCACAGTCACATTAAAACCTTCATAGGTCTGCTTATACTCATATTCACCGACGAGATCAGTTGGTGTAATTACTCCACCATACAAAAAAGAACCGTCGGTGAGGCGTTATTTTCCAGTTATGTTGACAGTATCGTG